AGAATTCCTCTTCGAAGTAGCAAGGAGGAAGAAATCTCTCACTTTCCCTCCACTCTTACAATCTCTCGAAGAATTCCTCACACTTTCTTCCCTCTAACAAACTCTAATGGAACATTTCTAACCTCCAGAAACTCTAGAATCTCTTCCAACCCCCCTCAATTTTCGGCCAAAATCTTCTTTTAACGTTGTTGATGAGCTTTCCCAAGAGTTGCCTAAGCATCCCTTCAAAATTTGACCTTATCCAAAGCTTGAGTAGGCATAACCGTCGAGCTCGCCGTTGGCGGCCTAGAGGGCGCCGTCGGCGGACTTCTTGAGAATTTTGCCTTGTAGCCTCGGGAAAAACTTGTCGTCGTCGGCGGCGTCGATGACCCTGTCGGCGCCCTAGTTCAAATCTTCATATTTTGGTTATTTTCGCTTCAAATTCGATCATTTTTGCATCCTTTTGCTCCAATGACCCTAATTCATCATTCCTGCAACAAAACATCAAAAATACATTTCTTTAAAGTTCAATATCATTAAAAACAGTATAAAATATATATGAAAATCTCAACATATTTTTCTTTGGTCAACATGCGTTTAGGAAATTGAAGAGGATTCGCCATAGATGTCAAACCAATATACAACTGTTTGTCGAAGTTTTACTCGACAACATTAGAGTGTGTGGGAGGGGTTGAATGAAATCCACATATGATATTTGTTCTATTTGAGGATGTTTATTGAAGTGGTACTTGACGTCGTTAGCCTGCGTAGAAGAGACCAAAATGTTTGATTCATTTGATCAGAGCATTACTTGTCGTCGTTGGATTGTACGAAAGAGATCTAAAAAAATCCACTGAGTATGTTTGACTTATCCAAGACTGTCTCTTAGAACACTAGCTTATGTTGAAATGATTGAAGGAAATATATTAAAGATTTTTTACTTATCCAATGTGATTTGTTGGAGTGTTACTCAAAAACGTCAACCTCTATGTAATAGGTCGAAGAAATTCATCAAGAATTTTTTTACCTATCCAAGGTTTTTAGTCAAAGTGTTACTCGGCGATATTAATATGAATGGAAAATGTTGAATCAAATCCCCACAAGATCGATTGTATCTTGATTGGAAAAGGACGACTACAACATGTATCCCAAATTAAAGGTAAAGCTGGTTTGTATTTAGACTGTTACAACCTTTAGAAGTTATGACTTCATCCTCATCGAAGAATTAGAGGTCTAACTAGGGATTGTGTGTAGAACTTGAAATATATTGATAGAATTTTTTGTATTTAGGAAAAGTATTGAGAGAGATAATTGCTAATAATATTTTATTGGATGTCAAGAACTTGTTTAAATACGATTATGCCTAAATGTTGACTTGAGTGATCATTCGAAGTTGTAGCGGAAGTTGCCCCTAGCCTAGAATTGGTTCCCATAAACATAATGTCTAAATGAAAAGCAGGAAGACTACCCAACCACCATCGTGCCTAGGATGTTAACGTTAACAAGACTGTCTCTTAGAACATTAGCTTATGTTGAAATAGTTGAGGGAAATATACTGAAGATTTTTGACTTATCTGATGTGATTTGTTGGAGTGTTACTCAAAAACATTAACCTCTATGTAATAAGTCGAAGAAATTCATCAAGAATTTTTTACCTATCCAATGTTTCGTTAGAGTGTTATTCGGTGATATTAATATGAATGGAAGGTGTTGAATCAAATCCCCATGAGATCGATTGTATCTTGATTGGAAAAGAATACTGCAACATGAATCCCAAATTAATGGTAAAGATGGTTTGTATTTAGACTGCTACCACCTTTTTGAAGTTATGGTTTCATCCTCATCCAAGGATTAGAGGTCTAACTAGGTATTATATGTAGAACTTGAAATATATTGATAAACTTTTTTGTATTTAGGAAAAGTATTGAGAGAGATAATTGTTAATAATATTTTATTGGATGTCAAGAACTTGTTTAAATACGGTTATGTCTAAATGTTGACATGAGTGATCATTCTAAGTTGTGGCAGAAGTTGTCCCTAGCCTAGAATTGGTTCCCATAGACATAATATGGCCAACTATATCTCATTTATGGCCAACTATAATGTAGCCTAGAATTGGTTTCCATAGAATTGGTCCCCCAACACCACCCCGCCCATAAGCTCAAGAGAAAACGACTACTCAACCACAATCTTAGAAATGACCACATTTAAAAAATTTAGTGACATCATGGCAATAATATGGCCAACTATATCTCTATAATATTCTAATAAATAAAAAATTTCCTGCCAATATATTTCAAGTTTTAAATTCATTTGCTAACTGGACCTCAACTCCCTGTACGAGGATGTAGCCATGAACTCAAAAGGATAGTAACATTCTAAATATTGACCAACTTTACCTTTGATTTGGGAACCATGGTACACTCGTCTAAAGCTAGATAGGATTGGGAGGATTAACCCTATTTTTTTCCTCAAGTTTCCGAATATAATTGAAATCACATAATAACAACCAAGATTTAAAAATATTCATCTCAATAGAATTAATGAAATTCACAAATCTTTCTAACTTAGACATCATTATCCATAATAATGAACAATTTAATAGAAGAAGGAAAATAAGTATAACCATGAATGTATTGAGAGCTCATATTTAAAGCAGAAAATTACAAAATCTCATAATTCTTCTTGATCTAAATCATTCAATTATTAGCATAATTTAAATTATTGAAGCTCTATTAATTAGGAAATAACTTGAAAGTATTTAAATCAACTTAGCCAGACGGACAGGAAAGGGAAATTTTTGTTTCCAAAATACATAAAAGATCTATCTTATTATCTTTAAAAAGATTTTTACAATTGGCAGTCTGGGCAATATTATTTAGCCTGCACACATTCCTAGCAACAATATTATGAGGTAATATAAAAATACTAAGAAATGTAAAAATCAACTGAAAAAGAAAAGCAAAGAAGTAAGAATCACTTTCCTTTAGCATTCCTTTTTGCAACAAGCTGAGAGGGAAATTTCATAGAAGTAGAGATATAGACGTAGAGACAGAAGAAACATGGCTAGTATTATGAATAACAGAATTTTCCACAAGGCAATATTAAGTAAGACTCTATCAAACAGTAAAACAGATTCAACTTCACCAACTTTACCTTCCACACCAACATCTGTAGTAGTAATTTGATCATTTCTAGAGTCATTATTACTAAAAGAATCAACAAAAATATTAAGATCAGAGGCATGTAAATAATTAAACATTACTATTAATAGAAATAACATTAATTAAAGGATGAATCTTACTAGAAATATTCCTAGAAACAAGAATGCAATTATTAAGAAAATTACCCTGAAAAAGCCTAGCATGCAAAGAATGTATAACATGGATAATTGAATTATTAACACTTCTAGGGGCTCTGGTATTCATATTCCTGCTACGATTACGACCTCCTTAAACAAGAAAAATTGACACTGATTTATAAGAAGACAATTTATGACAATTTAGAGAATCATTTGCAAATATAGAACATGCTTTATAGGGATCAGGTTTCCATTCATATTACCTTCCACATTGGATTCAATATTAAATAGAATACCAACTCTCCAGTAAGTTAATCTAGAATCTTTCACAGTTAACGAATCCACAACAAAAGGGACTCTAAGTTTACATGCAATCTTTGATATATCATTCTCATTCCAATATCTCTGTAGTGAAATGAAATCAAATCTCTGTACTTAAGAGTAGGAGAATATTTAAGAAGAGACGGGGAAGATTATAATCTCCCAAAACCATCTGAACTTATCTTAATTAACATAATCTCGTCAATTCATTATTGCACAGCCCTAAACTTTGACTTGCTCGCTTCATTTTGACCTCGTTTTAAGTTGACTTTCAGCTTTTAGGGTTGCTAATACGATTCCTAATAAATAAATAAATAAATAAATGTATTCCCATATGACTATTTATTTGAATTTGAAAGTCAAAAAACCGCGCAATTGTTCCCATCCTGCCATGCAATTAAGCAATTTCCTAAATTAATTTGGACTCGATTTGCAAATACGAATTTTCGGAGCTTTCCATGCAAAAACACGCATTTGAACTCATTTTCTCTATCGTAAATATCATTTTTAGCAGGGGGTTTTGAGCGAATTTAAATATAATTTGGTAAGCTCCTGTTTATTAAAGTATTTTTACTTGTTCTGAATTTCCCAGCCGGCTGTGGAAGCAAACCGAGTTATTTCTCTTTATTCTTTAATAAGCACGACACCAATTCTCTTCGCCAATCTCCCTCTCTATTCAGCTCTTCTTCTCTTCGGCTCCTCTCAGAGGCCCTCAGGCAAGTCTCTCTCTCTCTCTACTCTCTCACTACTTTTGATTTTTTGCTCCGTTTTAATTTTCAGTAATTTCTTTTTTTTTTCAATTTTTTCTGTAATTTCAATCCTTGGATTTATAAGCATGATTGCTCGCTCTGTTATGATGTATTGATTCTGTAAAAAATTGTGGCAGTTTAGTTGATGAACAACTTTCAAAATTATTATTAAATTTATGAGATCTAATTGTTATTTTTTTTTGAAATATTTATCAAAAAATAAATAGAAAATGATCTGAAAATTGACAGTGAAACTGAATCAGCATGAATCATGGAGGGATGAATTTTGTTTCAAATGATATCATGCTTTCGGAGCAACTTGATAGAAAGTTGAAAATTACAAAAAAAAAATTAAGATAATTAAGAAAATTAGAGAAAAACCATACTGTAATATATAGTTTTGTGTTTTTGTTTTCTTGAATCAAGGCCATGTAAATTTATTATTATTGTTTATTATTATTTTTTAAGATGAAGTGTTTTTGATTTTGTTCTTCTCAAAGTGATCTCTAGATTTGGAAAAATTATTGCTTACGCACGCAAAAATGCATGCGGTGAACCAATAAAAACACTCAGTGGACCCCATTTTTAATTTTGTTTTTTAAATCTTATTAGGCAGCGCCCGCAAATTGTGTGCTCTGTCCGCACCGAATAATCGCCCCTAGATTTGTTTCATGGAACATGAAATATGGAACGACTCATATATTTTTGTTAATTAGAAATTATTTAAAACTATGATGTATATGCAATTTAAATGTTTAAATCATGTATTTAATCAACTCATCTTTATGTATTATTTTTATAAAAAATAAAATAAAAATATTTATAGTAATTTAAGTGATAAACTATTACAATTTAAAGACATTTCTGCATTTCTAATTTTAACATAAAATACTTCAAAAAAAAAAAAAAACTTTCACCAACATTTTGAAGATAATTAAATAAATATAAAAATAAAAATCCCCTTGAAAATTTTAACCTTATGAAGATAGTTGAATTTATTTATAAACTCATAACTCTTGTCATATGCCATAACTCTGAAACACTTTTTGAAAGGCACATTTATGTGTGCCTAATTACAGGAAGACATGCTAAAAGCTAACATAAAGAAAATGATCAGATTAAAGAAATTTTCACTAATTTTAATGGTGGGCGATAATATGTAATGTAAGGCCAAATTAGTGGTGATTTTTGTCAGAACAATCCACATAAATTTCACATTTTTCTCTTTATAAGCAACAGATTTGTGAAGTTGCATAAGAACTAAGGGGGTGTTTGTTGGCATCTTTGAATGAGATTTAACACCGAATTTATGAAATCCAAAATCACAAAAATAAAAAAGTTTCATTGATTCGTGAATTTTTAGATTTAAGGTAAAAAAATTTACTTTTAATTGGGATTAAATCTATAATTAATCAAATCCACCAGGAAGATGAATTTACCAGATTTACTAAATCCTGCTAACGCTAAGCCGTAAGTGTTTCCTCTTCCTAGTATTTATATAGCATTGGTGCCAAATCACATTTAAATAATATCTGAGAATCCCTTATTTTTGCTTACATTGTAAAATAAATTATCAATTAGAACAATAATAAGACAAACTTCTTTCTGCAGGGTGATTTTCATTTCTGAATAATTCACAAAAATAATTATGTTCCAGAGGAAGCATAATACTTGTGATATTGAGGAGCATGATGACATATTCCAAGAACAGAAGGTATGGAGTATTTTAAACTTTGTTTTATATTTTGATTTGCTGTTATGAAATTAACTCATCACATCTTAGAAGCAATAAACTTGACCATCAATCTTGTAATAAATACATATTTGATTGATCCAATTGAATATGATAATGTGCAGCTTCAGAAATATAAGCATTTTAGTCAAAAAAAAAAAAAGGATAATTATATTGTACAACATAAGGCTGTGTCAACTACCCCCTACATCAAACTTTTACATTGTACTGATTGGAGCTCATGGTAGAGATTATGCCCAAGGGTGTGACTAAGTCATGTTGACCAGTGAGTTGGTTCAAACTTGTCTTGATAAATAAATAGTAAGCGTGCTCCGACTTGAATGATTACTCAAGCTCAAACTCGAGTCAACTAGCTTAGACCTAAATTATACCCTCATAATACCGTCAACGCCCCACTACATTGTATCGAGTCTAAGTTGACTAGTCAGTCGGTTCAAATTTAGCTTAATAAAGAGATTGTAACCGTGCTCAGACTCAACTCGATTGATTAGTCAAGAATAAACTCAAGTTAGGCGACGCAAACTCGAATCAACTCGTTCACACCCAAGTTATACCCAACAAAGGCTATGAATTCATCTATGTTCCTCCTCACTATGAATTTAGAAACACAACTGAGACAATAAACTTATTTATTTTCCTAATTGAGACAAAAAATTATAAAACGCAGTAGAAAATAAACTCATGATGCCAAAGACAACAGACTGGGCATTTTATGCAGAATTATTAGCGAAATGTTAAGCATTTGATTAAAATGCATAGATTTTGACATCTAGATGTCAGCAGATCATAAAAATGACGTATGCTAATAACATAGTATTACATGTATACTATAGATATTGACATAAACAAATGAAAGTCTGAACATAAATCATAAAACAGTAAGGTTCAGCATTAACATTATCACAAACCATACATACATAAACAGCCTACTTCCAGGTGCATCAAGCATTCAAGGCTTATCATCTAAGTTTCCTTTACTCAACTAAAAGCATTATTTTATTCACTGAAATCTATAGTTATCAGATTATGAAAGAATTTAAAGTTGGTAAGATAATGGATACATCTCTTTTAATTTTCTCAAATAGGTTAATGAGCTTAAAGCTGCAATTGGACCGTTGTCGGGTCGAAGTTCTACATATTGCACCGATCCATGCCTCAAGAGATACTTGAGAGCTCGTAACTGGAATGTTGCCAAGTCAAAGAAGATGTTGCAGGAGTCCCTTAAGTGGAGATCAACTTATAAACCAGAAGAAATTTGCTGGGTAATAAAAAAACATTTGATGTGTTTTACAATGCATATAAATTAATTGTTGTGTATTTACATATTCAACAATAAAACTTCGCTTTACACATTTATAACGCCCAAATAAAAAATACCACCGTGTTAACTTTTTAAAAGTGACATACATATTTTCCATGCATAGGTAAGGTGGTATACATGCAAAAATTAAAGTTTAGGTGTTAGGTATGTAAACACATAAGAATTGAGCGGCACATATGTAAATGTTCCTTAATTGCTTTTAAGCAAAAGAAGGTTTCTTACAGAATGAAGTTGCTGTGGAGGGAGAAACTGGAAAGGCTTACAGAGCAGGATTTCATGATCGAGAGGGCAGAACTGTTCTTATAATGACACCAGCAAAACAGGTCTGTGATTAGGGTTTCTCCTTTATGTAAGTAGGATAAACCTGTAATTAGTTTGATCATGAAGGGCTGATTTTGAATGATAACTTCGCAGAATACAACATCGCACGAGAATCAACTCCGGCATCTCGTTTATCTGTTGGAGAATGCCATTCTGAACCTGCCTGAGAGTGAAGAACAAATAGTTTGGCTCATTGATTTCACCGGGTGGTCTCTGAGCAATGCTGTGCCGATTAGAACAGCTCGAGAAACAAATAACATATTGCAAAATCATTATCCGGAACGGCTTGCTATGGCATTCTTGTACAATCCTCCGAAAATCTTTGAAGCTTTTTGGAAGGTTTGATTCTGCATTTTACAGTCCAGTTTTTATATAATTGACCTTGATAAAAAATCAAATCATTCCAGCTTAATAGAAGGTAAGTGCTCATATCTTGCAAAACAATCACTGTTAGTGTCGCACTGCTAATATTTGCAAATTATATATTACTATCCACCCCTAGTTCACCACTGGCGCAATGTATGAAACCTAGCTAGAATAGAATTTGCCAAGGAGTTAATGTACACAGTGTTGACCTTATGAACTAACAACAATAATATATGTAACCTAAGATGACTTAATAGATCTAATATAAAGTAGCTCACTAAATTACCTTTTTATCAGAAGGAAATACACTAATTGAGTAAAGATTTTATTGGGGCATTTATAAACATAGCACACAATTCTTATGTATTACACATATTGCACACCTAAACTTTCATATTTGCACACATAGCATTCCAATATTTAATATCACATAAAAATAACATTATTATCACTTTTTAAAAGTGAAACACACCTTTTCATGCATAGGTTTAAAATACCAAAGTACAATATATGTAAATACAAAAGTATAGATGTGAGTTATGTAAATACATAAGAATTGCGTGCTACGAATGTAAATTTCCCTATTTTATTTGGATTAAATGCCTAAATCATTTTTAAGGAAAGATAAACATTCAAATCCAGCTCCAAAAGATTTTTTCTTTAATTTCCAAGCAATGTGCTACTTGTTCGAGCACTACTTTGTATCAAAATGCATTATATGATACATCGTGCATTGATTCTCTTAGTAAAAGCACTTAAATGATTGATTTGGAATATTGATCTATATCGGTGACTGAAACTTTGATATTGCAGATAGTTAAAATGTTTGTGGATCCAATCACCTTCAAGAAGATCAAATTCGTTTATCCCAAAAGTGAAGAAAGTATGGAGGTCCTCAAACAACACTTTGGCATTGAGACACTACCAGTGCAGTTCGGTGGGAAAAATGATACAAATTATAACCATGAGGAGTTCACAAGAATGATGACAAAAGATGAGATAAAAGCAGCTGCTGTATGGGGTTTAGAAGAAAAGCCTGCTGATGGAGTTTAAACTCCATGAGAATTAACTTCTTGCTGTTATAAAATAAGCATATATGAAATTGATGATAGCAATATATCGGAAAAATATACGGATAAAACAAGATTACAAAATTATAGAGCTTTTATATTGGAAAAATATGGAGACTAAATAAGCTTTAAATTATTGTTATTGCTTCTGAAGTCATCATCTATTTCCTGGATCTACATTCAGATTTTCAATGGCTGATTGTGGAAATAGAATGCATCTTTTCATTGATGGTATATTTGAAATAATCTTAAGAAGAAGTCAAGAAGAGCGTTCAAGGCATATATTAGGAATAATTTTTTTCAGAAAACATGAACAAAGAAATTATCATTATAATTAGTGTAAAATAGTAAAAATATAGTTAGGATATATGATGCAGGATCACTCAGAATCTTCTAATGCAACTAATATTATGCATGGTCTGTACAATTCAGAGATTAGAAGTCAGCAATTAAGCCAATAGTTTACTTTTTTTAAATGTAAACATTTAATACTAGAGTTGAAGGCTAAATAATGATGAAATGAACAAAATGATCAAATAATTTCATAAAGATTTTAGAATTACATAAAATCAGTGTGCTCAAGGAAATAATTTTCACAATTTCGATTATGAAATGCCATTTTGTTATCAAAATCAATAGCACTAAATAAATCAAAATTAAAAAAAATATTGATGAAATAAAACAATGAATAAAATTATCGAAGTTGAGAAAAATCAGGCCTCACACTAAGACAATGGGGTGTCATTTGACCCAAAAAATATTAACGGATCCTTGGATCAAAGGATCTTGCCTCTAGGAGCTACTCAGCACTTGCCAGTTTTATACTATTTCCTATTGTGAGTTTTATTTTCACTGCTTTTGTTGCATAAGCCTCCTGACCTCGAGTTTTATTTTGGATGGTTTGGTGCATTGGACAAATGCCTGAAGACATCCACGTATATAGGATTGTCCAAACAAAGTTAGAATATATAACCACGAGAGAGATAGATTCAAAGATAATCAGTAGAATTTTCATTCGCTATTCAGAGAAGTTTGAGCGAAATGAATTTGATAAAAATCTTAATCGAGGAAAGGTATATTTTTTGAGGAAATACAAGGTTCTACGCACACCCATAAAATTCATGTTCATCGGTTGTGTTCTAAAATTATCATTAAATCATACTAAAAAATGAGCAATCAAGTGTTAAAATGCCTCATCGCCTAGAATATCCAACATGATATGATATATCCTAATGTATGGGTAGTGTCATTTTAGGTAATGACAATCTTGATGATCGCAAATTTTTTAACTAAAGCATTCTCAGCAACATTGTATTAAGTAAAATGTGCAGCTCATGAAAACTCAGTTTACTACGTAAATGTATAATTGAGTTACCACAAATGGTGCTCAAATAAATGGAAAGGAATACACATTTTAAAGAGTTTATTACTATGATTTGTTAATTTTAACTTTTTTATTTGAGTTTTAAGAGAGATGATATATTAATATTATAATAATTACGAAATTATGATCAATGAGATAGGGGGAAATGTAAGAAATGATTGATTTAAATGATGCCAATATTACTTAAATGTCAATTGTTGACCGCCAAAAAAAAAAGAAGAATAAAAAAAAGTTTAGATTAAATTAACTAAAAAAAAATTATCTGCTAATTTAATACCAAATTCTATAAACTGGTGTTTGAACTTGATATAAATATTAAATATTATAATTTGGGAGCTTGCATGCTCGACTTAGATGTTAAATATCATAACCTGGGAATAAATTTAAGACACATACTTTTTTAAAATATTGAAATGAAGAATTAATATGTCAAACCGCCACCGGATTCACAATACTCATGCTAGCAAATAGAAAACGATCCCTTTTTAAAGCCTAAAATCATATACTTATGCAAAGACTTTGAACTCCAAATGATTTAATTCAAAATTTATAAAAATCTCGTGGTTAACCCCAAGTCAAATGTGACATCTTGAAAAGTGAGACCGTCCTAAAGACTTACAAGGGTTACACTTGAGATCTTTTGTAAAGTTCATTTCAGGTTCATGACTTAAAAATAACGGAAGTCTTTAAAACTTATAAAAGATATTCAAATACATGAAAATTAAATGCCCGCATGTGTTACAACTGATATATAGAATGCTCAAATATTAGGTTTGAGAATACTGCGCAAGCTAATCAGGCCGCCTTGCGCCTTGTCTATTGAACAGGATCGTAAGTCCCATCTCACTAGTTTGATCATCCTGCTCGTAATGATTGAAGTTGACATGTCTAATAAGCTCTAATAAATGTTCAAATCTTAAAAATAAAAAAAAAATTATAAGTCCAAATCACCTAGTCCGATCTTCCTCATTTTAAGAAGATGAGTCGAAAAGACTTATATCCTAAAGTATAAATTGAAAAAATTAAACCCCTCTGTCAAATATAAAAACTTTAAATGTTCAAATCTCCGATGATGGCCCTGTTGATTGAATATTTTGACCGGAGGGATCTATCTTTAAATTATTATTTTTTTTTAAATTATCAATCAAAATATAAGGGTCTGTTTGGAGCGGCTTTTCCTGCGCGGTGCATCGGAAGGCCTCCGAAATGGGCCGCTTGGCGCGGCGTCTCCCTTGCTGCGGCCGCGAATTTGAGCGGAAAGCGGACCGCGGGTGAGACCTTGCTGCTCGCGTTACCGCTCGATTATTTTACTCCTTACCTTTCGTCTTCGATTAGGAAGGCCGGATCGCGGCATGCAATGATCTTCGAAACTCCATCGTTCTCCCTTTTGCCCTTTCCGCTCTGCTCCTTCCTGAAACCATTGAGGAAGGAGCCCTACACCCAGCCGAGCTCGATGGAGGGGATTGCCGGTGCGTTCCTTCTAAAGTAGCTGCCGCTCTTTCGCCCCCAAATGATGACGCCATGGCTCATCTTCACGTTTTGTATTCTTCGCGACTTTGTTTTTACCTCTTTATCCTGATTTTATTTTTGTTCATCTCTAGTTTATGAGGATCTTGAAGCAACCCCCATGGAGCATATTATGCTGGAAATTGATTTTTTTGCTTTGCGATTAGGCTTCATAAAAGTTTGTTCATGGCACATCAGGTAAATCCTTTATCAAAAAATGCTTCAGATTTAAACAATTATGTTCAATATGTACTTTTTTGTTTTAGTTAATGTAATTTTTACTTTTCTCTTTTCTTGAAATATATGAAATAAAACCATATGAGTGGTATAAATGAAAGATTTGGGTGGTATAAAGGTATAAAGTAAAGTTTAGGTGTTATATATGTAAAAGCATAGGAATTGGATGATTGGTTGGGAGGGTAGCGTGAACATTGTCCATATTTTCATAAAAGGGTGTAAGCTCTGCAAAATGGATGTACAATGCAGATTTTATCTCCAATTTGTAGTACATCGGTCTGAACGGGTGCTTGATTATAAATTCCAATGTAAACCTTTTGCCTGTAGTTTAGAACAACTTTTTTCTTTCAAATGGATTGTAATTAAACCCTATATTTGTTTTTCTTTCAACCAAACAACAAAATTTTCAGAACTCCTGCAGGGCCATGCTTGGTGGTATGTGTTTATGGGATTTAATTCATTTAAGCAAAAGTTAGTTGAAAGTTCATTTTTGAAATTCTGGTTCTATTCCCAAATACATTACATATGAATTGGGTTTTCTGCACAATGCTTTCATTCTAGTAGATGCAGGTCTTCTGAATTGCAGTGTCCATTATATATATATATATATATATTTTGGGAAATTTGCATTCATATCACACAATTCCTTTGTAAATGTAAGAAAGAAAAGTTTGTGTTAGATATGTAAATACATAAGAGATGTGCAGACATTAGAGGCATGTCTAGAATTGAAATGGGAAAGTGTTTATTATATTTTTCTTCCCTTTGTTTGGCTACTAATCCCTCATATCTAACACCTAAAAGTTGTATTTAACTTCTAAAAAATAAATAGAAATGGTATTTTTTGATGTGATATGAAAGATTTGAGTGGTGTAAATGTAAGAAAGCAAAGTTTAGGTGTTAGATATGAAAATTCACAAGAGATGTGCAGACATTAGAGACATGTCTAGAATTGAAATGGGAAAGTATTTATTATATTTTTCTTCCCTTTGTTTGGCTACTAATCCCTCAGAAGCAGAAACAATGGCCGTATATATGGCTGTCCAACTTGATATAGATGTCAACTGTTATCCAAAATTTCCTTTCTGGGCTGATAGTAGAAGGAGCCATCCTTAAGCATTTCTCTAATGTGCTGCAATGCTTTCTCAAATATTGTTGCCATGGAAGAATCTTCCTTCGTAATTTGCCATTTCCTTCGTAATTTGCCATTCCAGTTGAATTTTTTGATAAAGCTTAAGTTTTCTTCCTAAACACCCCGTTTTTTATGTTTCTTTATAGCGAGGAAAATGTATACTTTCTCCGCAAGAAACTAGCGATGGTGATCGAGAATGGAGAACATCACTGGTGGAAAGTTTAGCACAGGAGCTACACCGTCTGAAAGTTAAAATTAATATAATCATTTTATTAATTGCTATTTTAATAGTTTTACGTTTTTTTTTTGCAGTCTTAATACTCACTGTGAAGTGATGTATGTATTTGTAATTTTGTACTGTTTTTAAGTTAACTGTTGTCTTAAAAGTATTAAATTTATAACTATCACAGTTCTGTTAAGCACAACATTACAAAACAGAGGCAGAATGGTCATTTTTGCAGAAACAGCTACCTCACCGCTGCTTTCACACAGCTGCCCCAAACAGGAAGCCAACTTCCCCACTGCAGCTTCCCCGCAGCAGCATCCTGGGGCAGCGTAGCTGTAGCTGAAAAGCTGCAGCTGCGCCAAACAAAGCCTAAGTTAAAATAAATCACATGAAAAACTTAAAGCAAACTTCATCCAGCTTTCGCAATAATTTGTCGAGGATGACAAATTTTTGACTGGCTTTAGCTCACAAATAACTAATGTTATATTAAGTGTATCGCTCTATTTACAATCAGAATAATTGCAAGTCAATGAGGACGTGGTTCGAGTCCTCTATCCGAGTGGGTTTGCCTCCAAATGAGACCTCAAAGTAGCGGTTACGACTAGAGCCCTTTGACCTGGTGGTTGCAACCAAAATACACCATTATATTAAGGTCACGACTGCAACCCATATGTTTTTCGACGACTTTCTATACTTTGAGTTGTGAATCATAAAAAAATAAATGATTGACATAAAGCCTTATGTTAGTTAAGGCCGACTTAGATTTGTCCCCTTAGACAAATATCCATCACAGATCCACAAGGATATCTTGGACGGCACAACCCATGATTACTAACACTAATTCTTCTCACAGGTTCGGTCTACCTCCTTTAACTAAATAGATTAGGGACCACGACAACCAGAGATGACTTAACCAGAGGATCTTGATCGGATTTTGTTTTCATTCCCCTACTATTCATTTTAAGTTTCAAGTGGAGAATTCAACAATTTAAATCCCAAGTCTGTTGCTATTATATGTTTAATTTTTAAATTTTTAACGACTAGTCTTAATCGAAAGCGCTCTCGTCATCAGAAGAGGTAATTAGCCATATAGGTTTGCGCCTATAAAAAACCTTGAATCTTAGATCAAAAAGTCCTCGCTAAATGAGGAGGAAATCTCTGGATAGTGTCTTATCTACAATCCAATCAGCCTTCTAAAAATTTAACAATCCAAAACTTTATAAACAAAACAAAATTAATATCGTGGTAGGGGAGCGGTCGTGAATTTTTGGAGCCCACATCAATCAATTAAAAGAATTAATTTAATTTATTAATATTTAAGTGGCCCATTAAATTAATACAAAAACCATATTATTTTGATTAGTAATTATCTCTCATTTGTAAAAAAAAAAAAGTGACTCATCCAAAAAATATTGTATTTGCGAAGTGGGAGTTGCTATCCATCTACAAGATGCCTCATTTGAGAAAAAAGGGATCATCCATTCAAATGGTGCGTCCAACACACACACACACACACAAATGTGATGGGAGAAAAAAAGAGAAAAAAAACTATATATGGTGCTGTATTAGAATAAAGGGTATTTTCATACCTACCACCTAAAACATAAGCATTTACATCCTAAACTCCTCAACTCAAATATTTACAGCATTCAACACTTCAAGTTGCAATAATGACCAGCAGTAACTTCCATTGATCATGTAAGAAAACGCAGTTTTTCCACCCAAATTTGTTTGATCTAAATATCGTGAAGCAATTTTATATCCTCTATATAGTAGCACTAATTTCTTCAGAAAATTTCATCCATTTGTTCTACGAGTAAAATTTTCTCTCTTGGCCATGCCATTCATCAACTTCTATTTCACACTACAAAAAATGACTTTTTTTTTGGAGTCGAAATGAGATTCTACTGTTCTAAATGTCTTATGGAGCATAAAAGATAAAACGTATTTATATATTTTCTACAATGCGCCTTGAATTCTGAAGAAGAAAAGCTTTCTTGGGAAAATGTAGAAAACTATCAGCAGTAGAGAAATTATTCATTAGTCCCCAATTTACCTCAGTACCCGACGTAAATGGAACAAAGTGAATGGAAGTCAGAACTACGAAGCCTCCCGTGATCTTCTCCTCGACGTAAAACGGTAGATGTTGACGCCTGTTCGCGAGCCAGTAGCCGGTGGATCAGTATGCACCCGCAACACGTCAAGGAACTTTCTCGCGTTGCGGAAGAACACTGCATCTCTTTTCTTCCATCTTCTCAGATGCGCCATCAAAAACCCCACCTCCTCCTTCACAAAAACCCTAATTGTTTCCAATAGCGGCTCAATAAGATGGTCATAGTACACCACATCCGACGCGATTATTGCATCAAAGGCAGGCGCCGATCCCATCTCGACGATATCTTCCGCGACACCCCAACGGAGCTGACGTACGACAAGGGATCCGCCGCGTGCGGTGACCACCTCGGCGTTCGCGATCGCGTTAAAGCGAAGATTGGGGAGGACGTGGGGAAGGTCGGTTAGGGTTACGTGGGCACGGAGGATGGCGGCGGCGGCGATTCCGACGAGGCCGGTTCCGGAGCCAAGCTCGAGGATGCGGAGAGGGGAGCGGGGAGGGAGAAGAAGGGGGGAGGGGTCTCGATCGAGGAGGGATAAAAAGGAAGTGGCGGCGGGCCAGAGCTGGAAGGAGAGGCCTTGAGAAGGGAGTTCACGGGTGACGATTGCGGCATTGATGGAGGTTAGGTGGTGGCGATGATCCAAATGAGGCGGCGGAGCGGGAGAGGCTTCTGCGACATGTGATGGTTTGGTGTTTTGTTCTACATGGTGACGATCTTGATCTGAGTAAAGGATGGAAAGGAGGATTGTGTCGATTTCGTCGTCTTTTTCAGCCGCCATTTCTGTGAGAAGTGAGGAAGTAGGGCTGGGGGGAAGAAATATTTGCGTACATCTGCGTACATCAGGGTTATTCAGGCGGCGGTATAATGGGGTTATATTTGGTTATACCCCTTATAACCTCCCGTATAACCCAGATATAATTTTTCTGTACCCCAGAATAACATCTGATGTACGCAGCGCTGCGTACATCTTATGTACGCAAATATTTCACAGGGAAGAGCTGAAAGGAAAAATTATTCCATGCGGATCGGCGTCCGCCCCCACGCTTGGGGGTGGACCGTAAATCACATGATTTACGGTCCTGATGTATTTCGGTGGGCCCCACCTAAAATTATTTATTTATTTTTTTTAAAAATGGAAATAATCCTGACCGTAGATCACCGTGATCTACGGCCAGGATCGAACACCGCATGCAGAGATGCATGCGGTGTCCGCACGCAATAATCCCCCAGCTGAAAGGGCTAATTTTTGGTGTACTGAGAGATTTAGGTGGTATGAATGTAAAAAATAAAAATTTAGGTATTATTGCTATAATACTTAAATACATTCGAATTGGGTGGTATATGTAAATGCCCCTGGAAGACTAGTTCTTATCTATTTACAAATCTAGCTCTAAAATTTAATTCTTAAGGCATACTACCTTAAATATGCATGAAAAGTTGTATTTGATTTTTAAAATTATATGAAAATTTTGGGTGGTATAAAATTATACATATAAGAAATAAAGGTTAGGTATTTGATATATAAACAGAAGAATTGCGCCGTATGTACTTCACAAAAATATCATTTAAATTTATATCAAATAATTCTTTAGTATTAATATATTATGAGGTATAAATGAGCGGAACAGTCTAGAGCTCGACTCGTTAACGAGCTCACGAGCCGAGCTTTATGAAGTCACGAGCTCATGCTCGAGTTCAAACTTAAGCTTGTTTATTAAAAGAGCTTGAGCTCGAGCTTATCCCTGCTTGGCTTGTTCAAGCCGGCTTGATTAGCCTACTGCTATTCACTACTCAATTTGATGCATTTTTCGGTAAAATTATTGTTGCATCATTCTCCTCCTCCGACCACCAATATCTCCTCGTGTGTGCTCCCATAAAAATTGAAATTTTAGTTCCAGCTTGTGAGCCGGCTCTACCATCAAAATTAATTGAGCTCGAGCTTGCCATTCGAGCTCAAAAGCTCGAGCTCAAAATTTGGCAGATGGCCGAGCTCAATAATGACATAGCTCAAGCAGGATTCGGTTACACCCCTAGGCATATCTATAACTAAAAGTTCGTGCCCGTACATGTTATTTCGTATGTTATATTAAAAAATATTAAAATTTATTTATTTTCTAAACCATCCTGACTTAAATATAAGCCCAACATAAAAAATAATAAACTAACGAATTTAAATCGAACTAATTTAGTAATTTTATATGACTGAATTATAAAATAATTAAATTTAAACGTTTTATTACTCAATTAACCATGATTAATGTAACATGTGAAATTAAAAAATCATTTAGAATATTGGTTAAAAAAATTTTGGAGTTTTTTTTTTTTTTGAAATTATTATAAATAGATTATGAATTTTGTAATACTTCTAATAATGAGATCACAAAATTAAGAAAATATTGAATCAGGTCTTCGCACGTAGAGTTACGTGTAGTCCAATGAAATTAAGCCACCTGACGTTGACATAAAAAAAAATAAAATCCGTCCGTAACAAAAGAGAATATTTCTCTCGTGTTATTGTGTATTATTCAAGTATTATTGATATGTTATTATGTTATTATACCATAGAGCATATTCTCTGAACACAATAACAAATGAATAACAGAAAACATCTGAATTACACGGTGGGAATATTACCCTATGTTATCAGATAGATTTTTTTTTTTTTTCCTGCCACCTCTACGTAACGTGATTTGTACGTAACTTTACATGCGGAATTCTGATACAATATTTTTTCCACAAAATTCATAGTTTCATTATATTAATTAATTTAATTTAATGGGAAATTCAACAAATTATAAATTTCTTTGAATAACTTGTATATAATTAAATTTTTTCACAATGTCGTAGCCTCAAATCTTAAATATAACTACCAAAAAAATTAACAGAAAATATAATCTTTAACTACATTTAAGAACACCGCGCCAGGTAGGGGTCGAACCTACGACTTTCTGCTTAGGAAACAGACGCTCTATCCACTGAGCTACAGGCGCTGTGATGATTGTTTATTTATTTAACTTCTATAAATTTAATTCAACGGCCAACAATGTACCACATAATTTTGACGTATTTTAAAGTTTTAAATATTATGTCAAAATTTTGAATTGCATGTATGTAAATGCAAAATTCTAGGTGTAAAATATGTAAATATATAAGAATTGTGGGTAAATTAATAAAATACATGCCCCCTTTTTGTAAGCTAGCAATTTTTTTGAGAGAACTAATGAATAAATTGGTTATGCCTATATGATATGAATAAAGAAATAATATTTCAAATGATGAAACAAATCAAATTATATTATCTAATGTAATTATTTTATTATAATAAACTAATTTAATGTGAAAATTGACTTTTAATTTAGATATAATATTACCCCTACAATAATACAATCATATTTTCTTTCTTCAATGGAACAAGCATAATTAGCACACATAACACTTTAATATTAAATTTTAGCATGTGACAATCATTTTTCAAGAAATATTTTGTAATATCAAGTGATTCATAGGACACCTTCCCAATTTTTTTTTTTCAAGTATAAAAATTTATGTGCAAACCTACCACTTCAATGGTAAATGAAATACACGACCTTCAATTCCCAGTTGTTTTATGATCAAGTACTCTTATAAGTAGTGTTGCGGTTTTAATTCAAGGTTTTCAGTTGATTTTTTGGTTCAAATTGAGGTTAATAAAGCGAAACAAGTCACGCCCCAAAGCCAAAGTCTGATCTTTGAGCTAACTTTGTATGCATTTAAATTTAAATGAATGGCTACAAACATCCTTAAATATTTAACACTAGGAAACTTTCTTACATGATAAAAATTTGATCGAGATCAATTCAATTTTTTGTTCTAATTAAACTAGGATAAAAGTTAAGAAGCCATACCAAGATCAACTTCAGATTGAACTGAACAAAACTTTAATTAGATTTGGTAGGCTCAACATTAGATTCAATGACTTTTATTAAATCTTGAATCAAGATCGAATCAATATGAGACTGAATCATTAACAGTCCTAATTATAAATGGTGCTTTATCCCGACAACATCATTTTGATTACTTCTAGTAAGTAAAAGTGTCTTATTTATCCAACAAAATTAACAAATTTTGTTTGTCTGCGTGTAAGGACACGCGCATATATATATATATATATAATATGCATGAGTAGACATGCTATTCACCCCCCAAGTAATAAGTAACACGAGCGATTGTTCCATAAAAATTCTGTCATAGATAAGATGACCGCCCCTATACATTTGCAGTATAATCTCGCCCTAACTGATGCCCAAAAATTTTAAGAAAATAATAATGAAGTTAACCCTTGCAAACATGAAAGCGAAGTAGTCTATCCCATTGACCAGGGTGAAACATATGTCTCAATCCATCAAGCCATCTGATGAAAGTTGGTGGAGATCTACCTAAAGAAAATTGGTTCGACTCCATGAGGAAGAACAACTAGGAATCAATTGGGAGGGGAACTAAATTTTTACTATCATTTATTGAATGAATAAATTGAAACTATTAAAATATGAAGATAGAATTTTTTACATAACATATACAAGTTTACTACTTGCTAGTCTCTTTATACCTAATATGAATTTATTACTTATCATCATTTACCTTACAACTATATTATGATATCTATTACCATTTCTTAATAAATTTAAGCTTTTTTTTTTTCAATCACCTCCAAGCACTATAATAAAATGGCTTCATTGTATTGAAGCAGCACAAAACATAAGCAAATAGGAAGAAGAAAATATTACGCCTGGACAACATATGTTCATGTCCAAACGATGGCGTGGATCACATCACTCTGGAATCCAAACATCCAGACGTTGAATGTAATATTTTCTCTGGAAGAAAGGGTGAAAGATGAAGAAAGGCTTAAAGTTTTAACCATAAAAATGAGAAGTTTTTACGGAAGAGTGATGCTTACCAAACCATGTAAATTTATGTGTTATGTTATTATGAACTTTGATCTATTGTTTTTGTTTTCATTTAATTTTGCTAAAAAATTTCTCACTTTCATTACAAAACCAATATATAACCATAAATACGGGTATAAATTAAATAAAAAAAAAACAAATAAAGAATAGTAATCCAATTATAAGGATATCAAAACATATATTTCAAACACAACTATTTTTAAAACAAGGAACCTACCTTAATACCCCAACACAATTTATAATAATTTCCGTTTATATAGAAACATCAATTTACCTATTAATGCTCCCTTATTTGCTAAAAATTAATAAAATTATTTAATATTCAAAGACCAATACTTTAAACGGGTAACAATACTGTATTCTTCAAATTGTGCTAACACTGCACAATAAATTACACATGCAGTAAACTATTTTTCATCAAAATGTTCAATGATACATTAATGTTCTCCATCCCAAGTTTTTGAAAAAGCATTGCAAACTAAAAAAAAATATTGGACTTCAAATAAAACTATATATGTAATAACTAAAGTATAAGTGTAAGATATGCAGATACATAAGAATTATATGGTACGCACATATTTCTTCTTTTTTAAAGCTTGCAGCTTCAATAACAATATGTATATATAAGACTCTGCCGCAAAAATTTTATTAAGTTTTTGACGCCCCAACAAAAAAATAAAAAGGGCACCCAACTTTCCATTAAACTTTGGGAGTACAAATTATTTGTTTCTTTCTAGGCAAGACCATAATTTAGCACCAAGACAGAAATTAATTATTGGAATATCTGATAGGTTGTTAGCTCCTAACAATATGATATCGATACATTGATAAGAACTTTCTACACTTCTATCATTGTACAGCTCAACATGGAAGTTTTTATGGATCCAAGATGATGAATTTTAAGGTAATTTTAGGAGGTAACTGCAATTTCCAGATGTGATTCAGTATTAGAAAGATTAGCATGTACCTCACCATATTCGAATTTTCTGCGGTTTTCAATGAAAGCTTGTACTCTCTGATTGAATTCTTCATCGGAGCTAGCCAACAGGCAGCGCAAATTAAAATTTACATGATTCTGCACAAGGATCTCATGCCTTGGTATAATTCTTTCATCCAAGGAGTAACTGAAGAACCTACAGATATCAGAGTTTTTGAAAAAAAAAAAAAAAAGAGGGGCAGATTCGCATAAAATCATTCAAATAATTTGTAATCAGGTGGTAATAAAAAGCGCTAACGATTTTGGGAAAAAAAAGAGAGTTGGCGCATAATCAGCAGCTTTCTCAGACACCGAAGGTATAGGAAATTCTTGCCAAAAGAAAAATAGTCCATAGAAAGATCCCGGGCAAGGCACTTAAGATACGTGCCCCCATTGGCTTTGGCGTGCCCATTAAATTGTCTGATTGTGTCTCAGGGTTTGTTTGACAGAGTTTTTTGTCTGGTTCGCTTTCTCAAACTACCACCATAGCTCTATTTGGAAAACTGCATTTTTGTTGCTTTTTAGCAATTTATGTGATAAGAAGCTGCATTTTACAATCAAATCTTTTAAAATGTAATGGATAGTTGTCGTACGTTTTGGAAAAAAAAAATATTTATAATTCTCACCTCACATTTTTAAATGTTGTTTTCCCCACCAGAACCATACAACTACTTTTACAAAAAGCAACAGCCATCCTAAACAAACCCTCAATGTACCCCTTAACTATTCTTTGTTTAATGACTCTGAATCAAAATGTATAAAAACATGGAAACATGATAAAGAGATTTCACAGACTTGCAACTATTACAGATTCTAAAAACGAGCTTCAAGTTAATGGAGCTTGATTTAATCAGCGCCTCAACTCAAAAAGGTGTCTAGATTCACCCCTACATTATTCCATTGTGGTTGAAGCAAGGATCATAATCCAATAACTTGACTCACAGCTTTCAGTTTTCAAATTTCTTGGTATATAAACTACACCAAACTTTAATGAACTTAATGTTATGCACTTGAAAAAATTCGGAGCAGTGGACCTAATTTCTAATATTAATTAGACTAGAAAGATTGCTCATGATACTTTAATAGATAGATACCTGGGGAACTCAATGAGATCATGTAATGGTCGAACCATAACTCGTCTGAGATACCGGTATTTGGGGCGAAGGACATCCAAATTGTATCTGAGAAGCATAGGAAAATCTGCTATCATCTCACCAAGTGTTTGCAGACGAATTCCCAATGACAGGAAGTACTTGACATTGACATCCAGTTTATTTATGATACTGCAACCCACAATTTGAGGATCACAGGCAATCACCTTCGCAATATTTTCTTGGGTTACCCCAGCTTCTGTCAACAGGAAAATGACCTGTTTATATCATTGCAAACAAATGAGATGCAAGTGAAAAAAGCAGCAAAAAAATTTAATCCTTTAGTTACAATGAGAACATTCTAAAACGTTCCAATTTTAAGATTTAGCACAAATAACAAAGAAGAAATGTTTTTTACCTTGGAACATCTACATACATACCAGTAAATTCCTATGCATGAAAGGATGTATTTCACTTTTTAAAAATTAAAATGACAGTATTTTTATGTGATATGAAAGACTTAGGTGGTATAAATGAAAAAAGTAAAATTTAGGTGTTAGATATGTAATGCATAGGAATTGGGTGGTTGCATAGGAATTGGGTGGTATGATGTAAATGTCTCCCTTTTTTTTTGCTCGTCACAAACTCCATAGGATGCGATTTACTATTATAGCGTAGATGAGGTTTGAACTCAAGTTAGCACCAGCTTCCATAGCCCTTACCAATCAGACAAGCTTACAATCACCAATAATAAAGAATGTAGTATGACTACAGGATGAAGTCATAATTCTAGGTTAGTCATTCATTGTGATTGGCAGCAAGAGATTGACTGCCTTAGCCACATATCTATGTATTTTAGGTTGGTCTTTTATTTTTCTTTTTAATCTAATAGGTCAACTTTATATTTTTTAATTTTATATCCCTACCTCTTTTTTACTAGGAGCTGCAAATTGTGCCGGTGTAGATTAACAAAGTCACTCAACAGAATCCAACTTAGTGAACATGTACGTACCATTTCTCCTTCCAAGCCCTTTTACAACAATCAACACAGTCCTTTGCCTAGTTAGCTACATAAAACAAGCTATGAGAACTTGAATCATCAACCTCTTCAAACATGGCAAAATCACCAAACAACGGCATTGAAATGACAAGTATACATAGGAAAAAAAATCTAAGAAATCGGACTTAATTTTAACCTATAATTTCCAATGAAAAAAGCCATCACAACACATTATAGGCGCAGAATATTTATAAAGTGCCAAGCCGTGCATAGGGAGGAGAAGATTTCAGTGCCGTGATTGAAGCAGAAAATTTTGTACACAAGAAACCCAGAATCATTATTTCATAGATTACGGGCATCCATAAGAGGGTAAGGTAGTCATTAGATCTAGATGAATATTTAATCGATATGAGTAGGTAAGGGAACATATATAATGGAATGCAATGGGTTGAGATGAAGAAAATTAGATCTTTCAAATGAATCAACTGTGAATTTTGTATTAGAAAGTAAAATCATGAAGATTTAATTTCGTGGATAAATAAACTTAACAAGACATTCTACACCCGCTTTCTTTATTCATAAAAACTTTATCATGGAAATTATTCCCAAGCAAAATTCTTAAACTCACTCTCAGTTTTAAGTGACACAAGATAAATGTTACATAAATGGAATCAAGCCTCCATTTTTGAAAACGTTTGTTGCATGTGGCAAAACAATATTGGGAGATAGGATCAAGAGACCATTGTTATGCCTTGGCTGATCCAAAATCTATACTCGGCATCACTAGCATTGTTATGTGACAAGAATTTGAGAGAATTGATCGAGTTTTTCATTCCAATATTAGTGAAGTATTTATACAATCCTATGAGATTTTATAATAAGAAACATACATAATTAGACATAAAAATAATTAAATAGTCCATATATATATTAATGAGCAGGGGAAATAATAATTATAGAGTTATTATAATAGTCCAAAAATTGATGGATGGCACTCGTAATTGCACGGATCACTGACATGGTATGAAGTAAATAAGAGAGATGGATTATTAGATTCACTTGAACATTGATCTATGCATGGAGAATGATTTTTTTACTCTCGAAATGAATAAATAGATGCTGTCTATTCCAAGCATGCATGTGAATTTTTAAATATTGTTCCAAATAATCCTTTGGTGAGAATGTTTACATGTTACCCGTTTGTTGCGACAACCACAATACAAACTAGCCCATTGTCCAGCTTCTCCTTTATATAATGCATACCAACTTCGACATATTTTGTTCAGTCGTGTTGCACGAGATTGTGCAATATTGATGACAAACTTGTTATAATAGCCTTATAGGATAACCTTTGAAATATTCAAAATAAGTTTCAGCCATAATAGTTTGCAAATTCCTAATATCATAAGTCCAAATTCGACTTCTGCCAGAGATTTTCACTAGAGTTTGCCTTTTTACTTCTTAAGTCACGAGATTGCCTCATAAGACTATTTAACAAACTAAAAGGGTCATCTTATCAACCAAAAACACCTCCCCACCTCAAATAATTTTTTTCCTAGAGTTCCTTTTAGATATTGTTGAATCAGATATACAGCTTGAAGGTGTAATTATTTAATATTATGCATGAATTGGTTATGGTAACAATAGCATAGACAATATCAGGTTAATATCTGAAATTAGACAAGTCTCATTGCAAGTCTTTGATAGAAGGTTCTTTTAAAGGTTGTCTCTTCGAGAGCATCTCCAAGTTGTTATTAAATTCAACAAATTTCTCGATAAGCTTGCATCTCAACTTATATATTTTTTTCAATAGGTATTTTATGTATTTCTACTGCGATATAAAGATCTCATGCCAATGCAACCTCAATCTCAATAAATTCTTTGACTTTGAGTTTTTGGAGCAATCACTTCTTTAAAGTTTCCATATCTTCCGACTTGCTTCATCTTACAATGATGACATCAACATAATCTAGTAAAATGAAGAAATTGTGTTACACAAATAATATCTGCTTGCATTGGCTTGAACAATGATTCCGGTGCTTGTCATCTATTAATGATAAAAAAACTCGAACAATATTTATTTAAGTACGAATGAGGATTTCAAGATAATCAATTCCATATATTGAGTGTAACTATTTGCCACTAGTTTGACTTTATATCTTTTAAATGAGCCATCAGATTTGTTTTTATAAGAAAGACCCATCTAAGATTTCTGCCTTTTCAATAGTATCTCCAATTCTCATATTTGATCTTTTGATGGTTATCTATTCATTCTATCATAGCATTATTACAATTCTCATCATTTCAAGACTTCAGATAAATTATGTAGGTATACAAATAACATGGTAGCTAGTAAGGGTTGTTAGCTGAGGTCATTGGTAAGGAAGGGCAATCCAAAATAAAGAAGTTATTTATGAATAATATTTGTTGGAATACACGCTTAGGACTGCTTATTGAGTCTAGGTTTAATAGAGTCAAGTTTGTTCCTTAATCTTAGGAGTTAGTTGTTATTTTTCTTGATTTTATTTCTTGTTATTTTCTTAGCTGATTTTTAGGTCTTTTTCTCGGAAGTTTGTTATTAGTTCCAAGTTTAAATATTGTAAGGCTACACAAAAGGTGTGCAGTTCTAATTTTTCCTTCAATCTACAGCAACTCTCTTAAGTTTTCTCTTCTTTCTCATTTCAAGTAACCAACCATTTGGTATCAGAGCTCTCTTCTTAAGGGATCTGTGTGTGAGTTTGAGCAATTATGAAGATCGAACCTAGTTTTCCTCAGTTGCTCCACCAGTGTTTGACGGAGACAACTACCGGATCTGGGCATTCCGCATGGAGACATACCTGGAAGCTTTGGATCTCTGGGAAGCAGTGGAAGAAGACTGATATTTCTCTTCTCCCTGGAAATCCCACCGTAGCACAAATTAAAGCACAAAAGGAGAAGAAGACAAAGAAGTCCAATGAAAAAACTTGCCTGTTTGCTGCAATTTCCTCCACGATCTTCACTCGTATCATGTCGTTGAAAACGACAAAGGGGATTTGGGATTATCTCAAATCCGAGTATGAAGGAGATGAAATAATTCGAGGGATGCATGTGTTAAACTTGGTTCGTGACTTTGAATTGCAAAAGATGAACGAGACAGAAACCATAAAGAAGTACTCTGACAGACTACTAAACATAGCAAATCGTGTCAAATTATTTGGTTATTCTCAGGAAGATTCAAGGATTGTTCAGAAAATCCTTGTAACAATGCTTGAAAGATTTGAGGCTACCGTCACAATCTTAGAAAATATGAAGGATCTGTCAAAGATTGCTTTGATAGAACTCTTAAGTGCTTTACAAGCACAAGCGCAGAGGCGTGTAATGACTCAAGGAGCTGTTGAAGGAGCTCTACCAGTTAAGCATCAAGATGATGAAAAGAATAAGTGGCCCAAGAACAAGAAGTTTCAAGCTACAAGTGGACAAAGCTCTGCACTTGAGAACAAAAGCAAAATTGAAAATAAAAGATTAGGAGTAAAAAAAGATTACCATCCATGTCAACATTTCGGCAAGAAAGGTCATCCTCCTTTCAATTATTGGAGAAGAGCAGATGCAAAGTGCAGTAAGTGCAATCAAATGGGACATGAAGTTGTCATTTTCAAGAATAAATATCAACAACAAGGAGATCAAGCACAAGTGGCAGATCAAGAAGAAGATGACTAACTTTTCGTTGCAACTTGTTTCACGAGTGATAAAACAAGTGAAAATTGACTCATTGATAGTGACTACACTAATCATATGACACATGACAAGGAGTTGTTCAAGGAATTGAATAGCACCAAGTCCAAGGAGGTCAGAATTGGGAATGGTGAATATATTACAGTCAAAGGAAAGTGTGTCGTAGTCATTGCAAGCTGTTCAGGAACCAAGTTGATCACTGATGTTCTCTATGTACCAGCTATTGATCAAAACTTGCTCAGTGTTGGTCAATTAATAGAAAAAGGATTCAAAAGATAGAAAAAGGATTCAAAGTGATGTTCATGGAGAAGACCTGTGTGATAGAGTATGCTACAGGTCAAAAGATATTTGAAGTTAAGAGGGCAGGGAAGAGTTTTTCACTCACTCCAATGCATGAGGAACAAATTGAAAGCACTATGAAGATTCAATCAACAATAGATTCAATCAATCAACAATTGAGATAGTTGAGCATGTGAAAGTTGATGCAGGGCTGAGGGAATTAGAACTGGAATCAACCTTACGAAAAACAACTGCAGAACTTTTAAAGTTGAAAGCTCGCCTTTTTGAGCATGGAAACAGAACTCCCAATCATGTCGCGAATGAATGACAAATTGAAAGCTGAAATGGATAAGACAATGGCGAGCCAATTTGATTCAGAGAAGAGGCTGATAAAGGCTACTACAGAAGTTATAGAACTGAAAGCAAACCTCTTGGATAAGGAGACACAGCTGCAAAGCATTATGAATGAGAATGAACAACTAAAATTGGAGCTTAAGAAAGATAAGGAGCATTAAGAGAATTATGCTGCAACTATATTGGATGCTGAGAGAGCAAAAGCTGCAGAACAAGAAACACTGATGAGACTAGGTGTTGTCCTTGGGAAGCTGCTAAGCTCCCCTTTCTCCGACGACTTGAATGATGATTCTCCCAAGAGAAAAAATGACAATATGCTAAGGAAAATTTTAATGGATCTCAATCAGGAACAAAAAGAAAGCACTGAGATTTTTGTTGACAACCAAGCTGCCATTTCCATTTCTCATAATTCTGTGTTTCATGGGAAAACTAAGCATGTCAAAATCAAGTTAATTTTTCTAAAAGAAGTGCAGAAAGAAGAATTTGTGACTCTGGTTTACTGCAAATCTGAAGATCAATTGGCAGATTTGTTTACAAAGTCACTTCCAATCAGCAAGTTTGAGTTTCTAAGGCAGAAATTTGGTGTTTGCAGCTCCTAAAGCAAGGAGTGTTGAAATACATGCTTAGGACTGCTTATTGAGTTTAGGTTTAATAGAGTCAAGTTTGTTCCTTAATCTTAGGAGTTAGTTGCTATTTTGCTTGATTTTGTTTCTTGTTATTTTCTTGGCTGATTTTTAGTTCTTTTTTCTTGGAAGTTTGTTATTAGCTCCAAGTTTAAATATTGTAAGGCTACACAAAAAGTGTGTAGTTCTAATTTTCCCTTCAATCAACAAAAATTCTCTTAAGTTTTCTCTTTTTTCTCATTTCAAAAAACCAACAATATTTCTTCCTATGCATAAATAGTAATTAAATAAAATTCTTCTAATTAACGGTGACAATAGACACGTACACCTTTCTAATGGGTGGCCACAACATTTGTAATCCCTTTTAAGTGGAAGAGTAGTAATTAAAAATACATTTGCTTCATTTTAGATCAACTTTTTTCCAATTAAAGAATATGTATAGACAAAAATACTTTCAAATATCTTATAAATGAAGTTCTTTAAGGAGTTTAAATGAGAATGAATTAAATTAGGACTAGAGTAAGATGCATATTCTTGCAGGTAAACAGTTTGTAATGTGAATGACTACTAAGCCAACTTCGCCCAAATATTATTTTCAAACATTGCTTCTAAAAAAATAAGAGTTGTAGTCATAGCAAATAGGTGATAGTATGTTCATTTAGACACCATTTTATTGTGGCGTGCACACACAAGGAAATTCATGTATTATTCATCTCATTAAGAGAATATTAAAGAATGACAACTTATTTTACATTTTCAGGCCATTTCTTTTTGTTTCAATATCAAATCAATTTTTAACCATGTTAAAAAAGTACAAACGATAATAGTTACATCATTTTTAACTTTTAGTAGGAAGATCTATGAATCACAAGCGTAATCATCGATAAAAATACAAATAATCAAACAAAGTATACTTTAGGTGTAGAAATTTCATTATGAATGATAATAAATCTAATCCTCATAACTTTTAACAGAAATAAATTCTTTCAGAATATAACTTCTAACATCTTTACAAAAGATCTTTTACAGAGGTTTATTATCATATCTCATTGAAGTAAGTAAAAATTACCCAACTCATTAATTGATACATCAAATTCACTCTATTCCATGTGGGGGACAATATCCCTTGCTACTAGTTCAAGGATCAAATTCCCAAAAATATGGATTTTATCATCACAACAGAGTTAGAAGGCTTATTATTTGCCCCAAATATTGTGTACATGCTACACACATTTTAATAGATGTGAAATTGATAATTATCAATCAATAACATTGAAAAACAAAGTGATACACAAAATATATTTAATTAAGTTACATCTATCATAAGAAAAGCAGGAAAATATATAAAGTTCCAACTTCTAAATTGATTACTAAAAATAAAAATGTCTCGTAAGTGCTACATCAATAAAAAAATATCATTAAAACTAGCAAGTAGAATTTGTAAAACAGCAATTAATTTGACTATATGGATATGTGTGTGTCTACAAAGAAATCATTGGCATGCAAGTTAATTTGACATGTCTTTGATGCCAAAAGAGATGTACAATAATTTTAATAAAATCTAGAAAAAAATAATAATAGATATAAGGTAGAGTGATAAGGAAGCGCATAAAGTTATTAAGGTAATGTGAAAAACATAAGTGATTTGGGCCATGTAGAAAGAAATGCAAATGATGCATCAATACTGAGAATGAATAGAGTTATAATGAAAGAATAAGCTAACACGAACAGAAGTACATAAAAGAGTAACATCAATCAAAGTACATAAAAGAGTTACACAAATTATGATTAGTACAATTTTCAACAAGAACGAAAGTATAGTGGGCTGAAAAGTTTATAGTTGATGATGATGAGGCAATAAAAAAATGAATAGACTCGCTACAAAATATAAATCAAAAGCTTACGAGCAGTAGACTTATAGAAGTCCCTCACAATACAAAATGTGGTCATGAGTTAGAGAGCTTAGAGAATACTAAATTTTGTCATACTATAATGCACATTCTTCGATATGGCAAAGTAAATTTAGATACTTTTAAAGCAGCTTTCCATTTTAATCGTTCTTTAGTTTTAACAATTTAAGCTATCAAATAATAATAAAATTCCTGCAACCAATCATAGGAAGAAAGAGAAGTTGATATCACTACAAATTTTGCTTCATGCATAAAAAAAATCAAAATTGGTAATAATAGATGAGTACAAACCACTGGTCGAATTTTCTTGTAGAGGCTATATGTTAATAATGGCGGGAACCTTGCTATAACACTTCCAATATCTTCCTGTCTGATACCTATATCCTGCAAAAACCGAACCTGGAAGATGAAATTAACATTTCAGTATTTTTGTAAGCTCATACTATTAAATACTTATCAATAAAAGACATAAGAGGTTTGCTTAAATGGAGGAAAAAACTGTTGCAAAAAAGTATTCAAGTAAAATAAAAAATTGGATGTTTATTTTGCAATTGGGTATACAGTTGTGGTGTATATCTAGAGTCTCCTTAGCTCCTTCCGATTTGGAAACATCGATTTTGCACCACATGGTCAAAAGCAAAAATGAATTTATGGATATATACACTACGGCAGTATTATTACATTTCATTATACCGAACTTTCTGGGATACAAAACCATGCAACCAAACAACCAAAAGAGGTTATGTAGTTGAACACTCTAAAATGTAGCAAAATGAAAGATAGAAAGGCGCGCACATTAGCATACATGATTTCAGAAATTTATAAAGCTAAAGTTTAGTATTTTCTACAGTGGGACAAACCTTTGGTGCAATAGTTCTCTCCAAATCAACACAAAAGATCACTGGTTTTGCCATGAGAATTCTCTTCATACCATCACGGCGTACACCAAGGTAATAGAGGTATTTCAATAGGGGCCTCCATCGTTCTTCAACGCTACAACCCATGAGTTGTGGCTTGTAAGATAACAGCCTTCCCAATTCTTCTGTACTCAAGCCGAACTCTGTGAGATAATTGACCTAGTATGGCAAGCTAGTTTTTTAGAAATAATGCAACCGAGAGAATATTAACTAAATCTATGATAAAGTAGTAATAAATCATATGATAAGTTGGAAATACAGGCTATCAAGAAAAACTAAAATGGAACATATAATTTCTCGTGTGCTTTAGCAACTATCCTATGGCTGTAAATAGCACATCTCTACAACATACAATCTCTTGTCAGCCAGTCCAGGGGATTCATGTAAAAGTTCAATGACTAAGTTCATCTCCAGTCAAGTAGATTTCATGGAAAAGCTCAACGACAAAGTTCATCTACACAAGGACATCTAAATGGACCCAAGAAATGCCTGCTAAAACCCTCTAGTTCACTGAAATGTAATACATTAAGCATGTTTTTCAATAGCCTTATCATCACTAGCCTTATCCAATTTATTTTTAGATTTATGAATTCTCGTTATTCATTCATTCATACTAAGTGCTGAAGGAAATTTTAACTCTATTTTAATAAAAACTTTTAGCATGATTGCAGACCATGTACTTAAGATCAATCAATTTTCCTTCCTGATACTTTCACATTAATTTTATTTTCATGTCTGATTGGTTTATCTTCAAACATTTAGTGTATATATAAAGACTGATTGAGTCTATTTTCGGCTGGCTTGACTTCAATAAATGCTACTCTCACTCACTATCCCTCTACATATATTTTAATGAGGCTTTGCAAGAAAATAATAATAATAATAATAATAATAATAATAACAACGATAATAATAGTAATAGTAATAATAGAAGGATCCCAAAGTACACCTTTTAAAATATCAGTTTAACATGCCATGAACAGAATAATGGACAGCAGATAAAAACAGCAATTACAATCCAGCACATATAAGCTTAGAACAACTTTTACAGTTTTTTGCCTTTTTTTTTTATTTGTTCGCACGTATCAATGATTCACAAATTTCAATTCCTCAACTAGCAGATGCCCATCTTTTTAATTATAAAAATGAATCAACACAGCTTCATGCTTCCTCAAAGGCTTGCAGACTAAAGTAAAGCCAACAAAAAAGACATGGAAAGTAGAAAACCTCTCACTGAAAATAATAAGCACCCCTAAGTAAAAACTCCAACAAAAGTCCATTAAGAAAAACAGCAGAAAGTAAACACCTTACTATTCATCTCTTCCAAGGTGAAGAAACCAAGGACCTTGGGATAATCATAGACCATTGTACCAAAGTCCTTCTCATCCATGCCCATGTGCATATAAAAGTTTACACGAGACTTTATTTCGTCCATGCTTAAAGTTAACACTCGTGGGCATCTGCTCACAATAAAACCCATCCATTCTTTCTTCACCCCCTTTTCTGCAAGATAATCAACAATTTGGTCCAGCATTTCCAGCTTATACTCCAAAATAGAACTTGCTTTCACAAGCACATACCCAAGATACTTTCCCTTCACATGAATCGTTTTTAACCACTCAGCTAGTCTTCTCACTGCCTCGAGATTACTAGAGCAGAAGCATATCAACTGACCAATCTGAGGGTACGTTAAGGAATTATGTTTCAGCCACCTAGAATGGCAAAAAAAATAAAAAATTAAAAAAAAAATATTCAGAAACAAATTATAACCGGAAGATTAAGGAAACAAATATAAAATGGCTGATGAAGAGTGATCTACTTGACAAGGTTAACCACGCCGGATCTCTGGATGTAACTCTTCGCTCGAGCATTGAATGACAGATGAGAGAACTCTCTCACCACCTTCATTTCAGCCGCCTCAATCACAACCTGATCAACAAACTTTAGCAAACAGGAGACTATTTTAGCCGAGTAAGGTTTGCTGAGCCTTCCAGCACTGAGCATCACCTTTAAAACCTCAGCCGCAACCCCTCGTCGGATCTCGAGCGCTTGCTTGAAGGCTTGCTCATCGCTGCCAAGAACCACGACCGCATCTTCCTTGGGAAAATCTATGGAACCAGGAAACCTAGCGATTCTTTTAGTGACGAGGGAGGCCTCGTCGACGATCTTCTGCCGTTGGAGTTCTTCCCCGTCTTCTTCTTCATGGAGGGATGACATATTTATCTTCTCCTGCTGTTCGTGGAGGCGAAAGAGCGCGGCAGACCGAGCATTTTGCCGGCGGGAGAGGCGAGTGTGGTCCGATTCATCGATGACGGCGACGAATTCTTGTCGCTGTGACGAGGATGGCGACGGCAACGGGGATACTTGGAGAGGAGATATGAGGTGGAGGGATGATGGGTTCAAATTTGGCCTGAGACCGCCATGGTAGAGGGCAGGCGAGTAGCTCCCGGGACTGGAGTGACAGAGCAGCATTGGATTATCTGGTACTCGCTAATTTGCGTTTCTCTTGCAATCTCTCTCTCTTCCGCTGGTCAGTTCCATGCTCGATTATATTAGGTGTTCGGCTTGTTAAGCAGCTCGTTCCTTAAGTCTGACAATTTGTTCGGCTCATTAAGCAGCTCGTGTTAGACTTAACGAACGAGCCGAACACGAACAAATTTTTAAGCTCGAAATGTAAACGAGCCGAACACCAACAACAGTTTGTTCGCTCATGTTCGGCTCGAAAAAAAATTATATCTTTTTATATAACAATATACTATATATATTTATGTCTAAATTTAAATCATAACACCTCACGTGACAATGTGGTTAGTGTCTTCTTTTATATATATTTGATCGAGGTTCGAATCTCACACTTTATATCTATTTTTCTCAATTTTAGTTTAACGAGCTAATTTCGAGCCGAACACGAACACAAATATTTAAATCGAGCTGAACACGAACACGCTGTTCACAAGCCGATTTTGAACACGAGCTATTTTGAACAAGCCAAACACGAGCCAAATCTGAGCTTGCTCAAGCTCGGCTCGCTTACAGCCCTAATATTAACGTTGATTTCTTGAATAGTTATTTACTTAAATTATGTTAAAACTATTAATTTAAAATTTTAATTACTGAGACTCATAACTACCCCATAAAAATGCATAATATGAGTTTATAGAATGATGGAGATGGATATGTTACAAATTGTATACAACTATAATATAATATCTAATACTAACTAATGTATACTTACATTAACTGATTAATTAATTAGGTAGAAAAGCAAATGTTTAAGAAACAACAAGAAAGCCACTTAAAATATATTTTTTAAATATATTTTTTTATGAAATTTGTTTTAAATTTCATTAGAAAAACACTAATTTTCTCATCACAATTTTACAATTATTTTTTTACCAAAAAGCTTCAAGTCTTAAATGGGTCCTTATAAAGCTTTATTTTCTTGCTAATTTCAAACTGCCGCCATAATTCTATTCAGAGAATTATTTTCTTATTATTTTTTTGAAATATTTGATGGAAAAAATTATTTTTTGCAACCATATATATTAAAATGTGATGGCTTGAAGAATTTTATTGTATGTTTTTTTTTTTTTTTGAATTATAATTCTTATACAATTTTCTAAGAGATTACTTTTCCACCATAACTGTATACCGTTAAAAATTTAAGTTTAGAGAGATCAACAGAGGCTCTGTTGATCTCCTTGTTACAGAGCGGATGATTAGGTGAAGAATAGTAATGCTTCGCATTGGTAAACTTATTTGCATGCATTCCATGATTATCCACAAGATTACAGTATACAAAAAGGGGATAATTACATTCATACCACCCGGAACATTGATATTTATAGATTAACCACCCTGGTGATTCTTTTGAACTACCGAACTAATGTATCTACTTTTGAACTACCGAACTAATGTATCTACTGGTGCCTTGATCAACCTATTTGAGAATTTGATAAAAATGAAAAATCCGGGTTGGTATTTTACCCATGAATTTCGATATTTTGGTGAGAATTTGAAAAATGGATGAAATAGGGTTGAGTAATTTGTAACTATAAAGTTTTGAGTATGTAATTGCCCAAAAAAAATAATAAAAAAAATAAAAAAATAAAAATAAAAAAAATAAAAGAGAGGAGAAGCTCGAACAATCGAGAAAATATTACATCCTGTAAATCGGACGTGCAAACAACGGCATAAATCACACCACGACGTGAGTTCCGTCATCCACACATCTGTCGCCGGGATATAATATTTCTCCACGCAATCAGTAAAAATCAGTAGTTATTCATAAAAAAAAAATAGATAGCTCAGCTTCCGAAAGATTGTTAAATTATCCTCAATACAATAAGCAAACAGCATTTAAGTAAAGAGTTAAAAACAAGAACAGAGGGATCTGCAGATTCAATAAACAAACACACAACTTTGCTTTCTGCAGCTGGATTTGGAACTTCAGTCAAGAGCAGCTGCAAGTCTGACTAAACAAACGTTCAAGTTAATAAAATTTTAAAACTAAATAAGAAATAGGTTATAGTACTATAAGTAGTAAAAAGGCTGTTGCACTTCGGGCATAATTATTAGAAAAAAAAAAAAAAAAAGCACTAGTTAAGATTGTAAAGAACAAATATGATGGCTAAAATACATTAGCATTACTTCTTACCTATAAAGGCGATTTTCATCTCAAATAGTTTTTGATAAACTTCCATGATCCTGAAGAACAACAGAAGCCGCGTTACGCCCGGGAGCCCCCATCACACCACCTCCAGGGTGTGCACCACTGCCGCAGAGATAGAGACCCTTCAGGGGAGTCCTGTAATCTGACCTGAAATGAAGAAATCAGCGAGAAGGCTTCAATATTATCAAAACGATGATATAAAGTAGACATTTTTAGTCCCAGAGTTTATAAAAATGTCAAATTAATACTCCGACTCTTTAAACTTGGGCTGAAATAGCCCTCAGTGGAGACTATTTAAGCACGTATTACAAGAATCTAGAATTAAAATGATGCCCCTGCAAAGAAGGGACTATTTTGAGACTTTTCTCCACTGATATGCATATATTGGAAAATTAGCCCACTAAGAATAAGAGCATGAAGAAGAAGCAGGCTTATGCTTTGCAACGAGTTTCATGTCAGGACGTCATTTAAATCGAGAAAAAATAAAAAAAAAAGACAAGAATTTTAAGATGAGAAATATCAGAGCATGAAGAGCTTGGTAGACATACCATCCCTTGACCGGCCGCATTAAGAATAAGGAATCCAAGTTCATTGAACCATGGAAGATGTTCCCACCTGGAATTATGCCATTCAGCATAAAGGATTATTAAACCCAGAATCTAATTTGGATCAGACTGAACAATTCACAAGCACAGGCAATAAAAACTGCTTCTATAGGCGGCGCATCTGTAATCACAGAAGAATTAGAATTCGTAGAATGTACAATAAATCATACCAGTTAGTCCAATGACCCTTTCAAGGTCAGGTGGAGTCAACATATCGTAGGCAATGATTGATGAGCTGAATCCCGGCGAATATTCATCGATCAAGGAAAAGCATCTTTTTGCAAATGATTCCTGAAAATAAGATCTTTCAGGCATCAATATGTCGCGCTAGTTATTCAGCATTCCGACAATAATAAAATCAAGAAAAAATTACAGACATGCCATTTAATTGTTATGTATTTACATATCTAAAGCCTAAACTTTCAATTTTTACATAAATGCTACCTTACATAAGCATAAAAAGGTGTATTGCATTTTTTAAAAGTTAAATGGTGGTCTTTTTTTATGCTTAATCAAAGATTTGGATGATATAAATGTAAGAAAATAAAGTTTACGTTTTAGATTGTAAATACATTGGAATTGTGTGGTATGTATGTAAATATTTCTGCAGTTGAAGAAACAATAAAACGGTTTCAATTCATATATTGCAAGTTTGTTTCTTTAAATTTTTTCCAAGGTTCAATGTGGAAACAGATATAAGGACAGATTCTTTATAAAAAGCAACTGAAGACCACAAATCAAGCATTATGTGAAAGTAGTAGTGCAAGTGAGCTAAGCTGACTTGTGAACCGGCTCAAGTTTGGCTCGACAAGTGGCTCATGAGCTAAAAAGCCAAAGCTCAAGCCAGTCCTGACTAAACCCATTAACTTGTGTGCCGGCACATCTGACAAAATATTAATATAAAATATACTAAAAATACATTAAATTTAAAGCCCATATGTTTAAATTTTTAAAATATTTAAAAATTAATATTTTATATTTTATACCAAGTGGTTTGTTATTATTTATTTCCTAATTGTTCATTCTATTTGTAATTTTTATAATAACATTAGCTTTTATAATAAACTTAAGCTTTTATAATAAACTTAAGCTTAATGTCACAGACTAACTTTCCTCGAGTTATCCGTGCGGCTTTAGCGCTCTTTCTTAGCACTAAATCAGCCTAACCTTCCCAACTAACAACTCAAAAGCACTCTCTTAAAAGTAGAATAGGAAGAAGAGTTAGAGAAGATAAAGCTTCACTAATAAAGAGAGATTACAAAACTTGAAAGCTTGAAACCTTGGATGCCTTAGAATGAGGGAGGGGACACTTATTTATATCTCCCTCCATGGCTTTGGCTTTACATATTGCCAATGTGGGACTATTCTCCAAGGGAAAATTTACAATATAATATTTTAGCTTCTAGATAGTTCTACACTATTCTTATGTACATACATATTCTAGTTTCTTCAAGTTTGTTTTTTAGGCCTCCATCTTCTAGAATACTCCATCATATCATAATATTGGCGGGGCGTGACATTCTCTCCCACTTAAGCTCGCAATGCCCTCATTGCGCTTCTCCTCTTGATACCGTTTGATTTCCTCTTTGAATTGC